TATTTAGATTTTTATTTTTTTATGTGCTAAAGTGAGGCCTTGTGACCACGTTTATTTATTTAAACTTCAATGCATTATTAAATATTTACGCGTAATCTTACCCCAATTAACCAATTATTAATTTAATAATAGTGAAACAAAAACAATCTTAAAGTGTGCTTACAGATTCGCTGAAGCTTTCTAAGTACAGGAAAGAGGCAGTAATCAGGATAAATTCACAAATTAAATTAATTGTATATGAAATCTTGCAATTAATCAAAACGTTAACTCGAACTCGGCCGTAAAACGTAAAATAATTGAGATTGACCAAAAGCTACCTTCGCAATATGCATTTCACATCAAAATACTATCGAGTTAACCAGTCTCAAAAGACCAGATCAGACCGGTCAAGCTCAACCTCAAGTCAAAACCAAATTAAAATTATATCTTAAAATTAAAAGTCGAAACTGGTTTTTTGGCTTCGCACAGTTTCAAAACAATTGATTTCTTTATGGCTATTTGCATGTCACCTTCTTTTAATCTGTTCGCTTGCTTCTTCAGTTTGATCCCTTCTAAGGTACACTTCCCGTTGGTGCGGATGACATGTATGTAATAATCATATCAACGATTGGAAATGTATGACTTTTTTTAACAAATAAACTTTATAAATATAAATTATATTGTATTCGCCCGAAATGCTTTTGATTAGATCCTTCGACTAGGACTTGGGTTAGAAGAAATGTGTCTACCTCTTTTCCTATTATTATTAACAATGTATGTTAAAATTAATAGTAAATTGTCAAATTATACTTTTTGTAGGCAATTTACTATGACTTCTTTTTTCCTTGTTATTTGATTTCTTCTAGCTATAATAGATGCATATTTATTCATTAGTTGAGTTTGTGCAATTAATACCAATGAATATATTCGTTGTTAAAAATGATATCTTGTTGGTTTTATCTTCATTGATATCTGAAGTTTGTGAGGTGGAGAGAGTTGGTAACCTTATCATTATTTGTAATTACTTTCTTAATCTCAATATACAGTCCCCCAAAAAAGTAATGGCGGGGTGCCTTTTATGCCATGTAATCCTTTTTATGGTGCGATCAGTTGCTGTTGGGATATATTAGATTACTATCGGTATATTTTGAGACTTGTACTACACTGTTTGTTTACTTCGAATTTGAATATATATTTTGATTAGTAAAGCATATTACTTCGACAAATGGAAAATTTTTCTTTAAAAGAGAACTGCAAAGCGGTTAAGAACTTGTGGCGACAAGGCTACAAAAGTCCAACACAAATCTCTCAAAAGACTAGTGTTCCTCTTTGCTCCTGTGAACAATATGTAGCTCACCTTCGCAAAAATGGCAAAATTCCAGAAATTCATCGTTCTGGATGTCCATGCAAAGTTTCACCAAAAATGCACCGCCAGATCGGCAAAATTGTAAATTTGAATCACTTTGTGAAATTAAGGCTCGACTTGAGGAAACCCACACAGATTTTGAGGCGACTGAACAAACTATTCGTAACGAACTCTCTAGACTTGGTTATGTTGCTACTTTACCAAGACATGTCCCTCTTCTCACCAAACAAGCCAAGCAAAACCGGTTGGTATGGGCTCAAAGCCATTCACGTTATAACTGGCGCAAGGTCGTATTTTCCGATGAAACAACTTTGCAGATGTTTTGAAACACTTGTTTGGCTTGGTCACGCTCTGAAAAACCCATTACACCAATGGTAAAACACCTGTTTAAACTTCACATGTGGGGTGTAATTTGTGCATGTGGAAAAGTTGGAATGTGTATGTTCGTGGAGAACATGGATTGACACCTCTATCGAAAAATTCTCAATGAGAATTTGTATGACAATGCAAATAGCATTGGCAGGGATCAAAGCTGGGTTTTCCAGCAAGATAACGATCCCAAACATACTTCAAAGGAGGTTTGTGCAGGTCTTGAATTGCATCTGCCGAAGCGGGTTTTGCCTTGACCATCATATAGCCCAGATCTCAACCTGATCGAAAATATCTGGGCAATTCTCAAGCACAATGTAGAGAAGAGGGTCAAGGCAATGGTGGTGCAAAAATGAATGTGTCACAGGAGACATTTATTGCGTTAGCAAGGGAGGAGTGGAAATAATATACCTGATGATGTAGTTCTTAGATGTGTTACTAGTATGCCAGATCGCATTTGGGTCTGCATTGATGCAGAAGGAGAACATACCAAGTACTGATTTTTTATAGGTATATCCTCTACCTAAATATGGTCTGGATATAAAAATTTGGAAATAGTTTCTTATGTAGAAAATTTTTTTATATAAAAAAACACTCCGCCATTACTTTTTTGGAGGACTGTACCTTTCCTGACTTCTACTTCTTTCTCTTGAGTTTTTCCTTCTCGGGTTTTATATAAAACGTTTGCAGATTTTTCCTTGTCATTTTATTCTAAAGTGTTTAATAAAAACAATTATTACCAACAAGTAAAGTATTTAAATATTATGATAATAATTAAAAAGATCCAAACTGAATAGTTACAAAAAAGAAGCTATCAATTAAAACTAAAATATGGTTGTTTATTTATATATCACAATTACTATTTATTTGTAATATAAATATGTAATTTCAAATTGATGTAAAAAAAAAAAGAATTAACACAAATTTCCTTCTAAAAATCTCTAAATAACAATCAGTTATCAATTTAACTAATAACCATTTTTTAAAGAACCAATTAACATCAATTGGCATGACATCATTATACCTGCAATATAAGCAATGGAAGAAAGCTGTCATATTTTCAGAACCACACTAGTTAAAGGAGAAATTGAATGGTGTGGTGCCATGTTGCTAATTGTAGATGAAATGGTTTTTTCCATTAATTTCAATTAAATTAATGGGGTCTGATTCATTTCATCAACAGTCACTTCACCAACACCCATTTCGTTGAAAGTTCTTTTCGTCAAAAATTATTTCGTCACAAAAAAAAAAACTTCATTAAACAAATTTCTCCTCACACACCTCACACACTCCACTTTCCTCACCTAATTTCTTAATAGTCGAATGATTTGTCACATTAAACGATTGGGAAGTGTATTTTCCGAAATTTTTTGGTGATCAATGTCGAAATTCTATTAATAAAATTAGCCACAAACCTTAATTTTAACCTTTTTTTGCTCAACAATCTCCACCAAATTTGAGAGACAGATTTTTTAAGACTTATTCCTTCTTTTAAAAAAAAATTAGGAGATTATTAATAAAATAGTAAAAAATATTGGTGTTAAAGTTTGTCAACCAAATTACCACATTTGGAAATTAATTATCTATTTTTGGTCATTATTCCTGATAATCTTCTGATAATCTCCTGCCTACATTTTTTCCTTTTTGTGTATTGATAAATAAATTTATCAAAATTTAATATGTTTTTTGGAGTTTTTTGCCATTTTCACTAAACTTTAATAAACAACAATCCACATAAAGCTATACCTATATGAAAGCTTACAATATTTTACATCTTTTCAACCACTCACCAAGTTTATAAAGATAATATTGGTAAAAAATCTTAGCTTTGAAATAAAAAGTAATGCTGTTTTTGAATAAACAGAGCTTAACATAGAGAGCCTCTATCAATATGGAAGAGGGCTCATTAGAAAGCTATAATGCCATAGTTTTATTTCTGATTAATAATGATGTTTGTATTTGTTATAAAAATAATGAGATATTTTAAAAAATTGATTTGTTACACGAGTCGGATTTTCATTTTATATATGTAATTACACTTCCTGTGACATATCGTTTGACTGCTATAGTGTAAATTTAGAAATTATTACTACGTATATATATATTACTCAAAATGTAACCAACACTGCAAATCGCTAATTCATGGAAATAATCGTCGCTGCTGTTTGCCACAATTATCAATTCGGACAAAGTCCCCTTATGGGATCAGGTTTCTCCCCAATAATAATAAGTCCCTCGTGTTACGGGCACGCATTAGCATCTAGATTCCAACTCACATGATATTGATGAGAATTTACCATTGCCAAATGCAATAACAACTGTATTATCACCATTACCATTTGCTATTCTCTCACACGGCACACAAAAGGCTTTCTGTTTATTAATAAAGGATTTCCATCGCAAATGACGCCAGTGACGTTCACCATAAAAATCAAGGATTGCATCGAATGTAGCGAGGTAAGAGCCATATTCATAGACATTAGTGACATCAGATGTTGGGGTTGTATTGGTATTAAGTGAAGGGTATGCAAGTAATATTATTCAATGTTATTCTTTGCAAATTAAATTAACAAAATATAGCTCATCTCGAACAACAGCCCAAATATATTTTCCTTAAAATCAACATCACATGATCTTGCACATCTTTTCTTTTCAACATCGCTCGCTGGTATATAACATGACGTGAAAGTTGTCTTTAACACATTTCTTTTATAGTTTATTCATTAAATGTCAAAAGAAATAATGCCAAAACATCAAATATAATATATATTTTTTTAATTGAAAAAAAAATTTATGCTTCTGTTTTTATCACGAGAATACTTTTCTTGTAAAGATTATCGAAACTTTGTGTTTGACGGTTGCTGCAGTTCATATAATTTTAAAGTTTTATTACTAATTGTTGAATATAAAAAATTTATTTTTTTGAATGATTTATTTTATTGCATGTTTAGTTCCTCTATTACTATTATTAATTAATATTATATACACAGTGAATCTCGATTTAGCGGATACTAATTAAAAATCTCGGTTTTACGGATAAAGTTCAAAGAACGGTTCAGTAATAAAAACCTTTTTGATAAAGCGGATATCTCGGTTTAACGGATTTTTGGAAAATTTTCCCCAATACTAACTATCCGCTAAATCGAGACTTCTTCCATCAACAACGTGATTTGTGACCAATTAGTCAATATTTTCTGACCAATCAATTTTTGAATTGGGAATTTCAATTAACCCTTTCTTTTAAATCATCATTACTAACAAAACATAGTATTTATTTTTAAAAAAAATGGATAATGAAGAAATCATTCAAGTCGAAGATGTTCCTATTATTACTGAGGGAATTTCTGATATAGAGGAAATAGTTGGGGATCAAACTTTGAATGAGAGTAATGAAACAGAAGAACAAGAATTATTAACTTATTCAGAACAACAACGTCTTATGCTTGGTAAATAATAATAATTATTAATAAAGTACTTTTCACTCTTGCTACCCAGTGATTATTAAACTTTATTTGAAAAAAAAATAAAATTAGGAGCGATTAGTCACAATGCATTACAAAGGCTTGATACTTTAAGGAAAAAAGTGATTGAGCAAACATCTGAAATACAAAACTATCAACAAAAACTATCAACTAAAGGTTAAAAACCAAAAATTTTTATTGATATAATGTAAAATTAAATTTTGCACATGATATATTTGTTTATATTAAACACCAATTTAATAATCACTTTGTACAGACATTGAGATAAAGATCCTTCAAGAAAAACTTGATAATTCCAACAATGAACTTATTAAAGTCAAAGCAGATCATGATAATAATAATATTGAATATAATCAAAAGAAGGAAGAATTTACTGTTTCGTTAAATCAAAAAAACGAAGAAATAATATCTTATAAGAGTAATTAAAATTAATCATTGTTATTTTGGAAATTGGATATATTTTCTATCAATTTTCAAGCCTTTATATTTTTTTTCCATTTTTATGAATTGATTAATAGAGGAAAGAGAGGAGTTGACTGCTAAACAAAATGAATTACAAAATTTAATTACAAATCAAGAAATTGAGTTAAAAAAATCAAATGAAAATATAATACATTTGAAGGTAAATAAATATATATATATATATATTATTATTAAAAAATACTGTTATATATTGGTTCAATTAATTAAGTAATTATTTGTTAAATTTAGGGTGCGGCGGAACAAACACAAAGTAACAAGGATAATATTAATACAACTTTACAAGATCAGATAAATAAATTAAAACAACATATAATAGAAATTACTAATTCTAAAGTATTTAATTTATTTGTTTTATTGTATATTTATTTTATTAATTAATCAATTTAAATTGATTGATTGTTAACTATTCTCAAATGATTTTGTTGCAATTTAGAATAAAGAGATTGAAAATCTTAAGAAAGAAAAAGATAAATATTATAATGATTTTAAAGGTGTTGAAGCCAAAATGATAAATTATTCTTCCCAAGCCCAAAAGCAAATTCATAAACTTAATGAAGAGAAAAAAGCAATCACAAATAATGCTAATACAGAAAAAATCACAATCAGAAACAAGTTTGAGGAATTGAAAAAACAACTATTAGAGTGTAAAAGGAGTAATCAAACATTAGAAAGTTAGTATTATTATCATTATCTTATGGTAGTAACATCAGTGAATAATATTGATGATAATGATTATTATTATTTGTAAATAATTTTTTAAATTGCCTTATATTTTTTTTTTATCTAGATGAAATTTCAAACTTCCAGAAGCAATCTAATGAATTAGAACAAAAATGCCTTCAAGTAATTCGAGTTTCTTTTAAATTTTTCTGAATAATTAGTCAGATCATTTAATATTTTATAAATTTTATTATTAAAAAATATAAAGTATGAAAAAGATATAGAAACACTTACCAACACAAACAAAGATTTACAACAAAAATATGATAGTTTACTTGGAGAAATGAATAATAGAATTACAACCGGCCTTATAAATAATTCGATATTAAATACTCCTAATCAACCTAGAACACTTGTGAGACACATGAATTATCAATCGGTCACCCCTGTTGGATCGTTGACACCTGGTATTTGGCTGTTCTAATTCTTTTATAGATAATATTAAAATCTTTGGGATTTTTAATATTTTTAATAACATGTAAATTGAAAAAAAATTTTTTTTTTTAGCACAAGGTCTCAATTCTCCAATTGCTAATACACCTAGGAATTTTGATATTACACTTGGACATTCACCCAATATTCCAAATCTTCTCATTAAAGATTTAACGTCTACTTCTATCACTAATGAGTCAGCAAGCATTGAAAGTATGAAACAGTCATTAGAACGTCAAAATAGAAATGTTATTGAATTGGTATGTATATATATATATATATTTGTGACTTTAAAAACCATTTATTCATTATTAATAAATTAAAATATGATATATATATATATATATATATATATATATATATGTATGTATGTATACATATTTTAAAAGACTAATGCAAGGTTAGAACTATTCAATCAATATTCTAAAGAAAAAAACAAAAACAAGAAATTATCCGAGACATTGGCCGATCTCAACAAAAAACTCAAAGAATACGTGAGCACAATCAATCAATCATCACATCATATTTATTACAAGATAACATAATAATAACGTGTTAATATTTGGTTATATTTAGGTTCCCAAAGCTCAGGAAAGAAAAAAAGAGATTACAAAAATAGCTAATGAGTGTAACAATTTGTCATCACAGCTTAACATGAGAAATGAAGAAATTGGATATTTAAGTGAAGAGGTGCAAAATCTTCAATTTGAAAAAGACCAGCTTAGCGAACGACTATTGCAACTAGATGCTGGTAAATATATTCTTTTATTTCCAAAAATATATTTTAAAATTAATTTACAATTATAATGATAATTTTGATTTTATTTTTAGAAAGACAAATAGTCATGGACCATAACACAAGTCTAATCAGAGTTGTTGAAAGTCTTAAACAAAGTGGTGGTTTAACCGGTTTACAAACTCCAACAACGACGATATCTTCTACTGAATCTGATACTTTACCACATGATGTTCCAGAGTTGATTCAAGTCTACACCAGAGTTAAAGCTGAACAACAATGTCATGTCATCAAGATTCAGAGACTTGAAAATCAAGTTAAAGATTTGGAACAAACTAAAGAGAAATTATTGGATTCCATTAAATATATTAGAGGGGTGAACATTCGTCTGAAAAGTCAAGCATATTTGTTAAGCGCAGAACTTGAAAATGAAAGAAAATTACATGTTGAATTATCAGATTATATTAAAGGAAATGATTTGAGTAATCGTGATAAATTATTATTAACAACAACCAATAATAATAGTAGTAATAGCGAAGACGGTTCTGCTCAAAAATTACAGGATCTTAAAAAAGAAAATTCGGAATTAAAGGTAAATCATTATATATGTGGGCATGTGTTTATTTATTTAAATATAATTATAATAATGTATTTGTGTGTGATAGATGGAATATGAAATAATCAAAAGTGAATTGAAGAATATTGAAAAAAATTTAGAAGCAGCAAATAAAGAGTTGTTTAGTTATCGGCTTGAGAGAACAGAATATGAATTCCATAAAAAGTCATTGGAAGGTAGTTGAATGATTGATTGAATGATTGATTGATATATTAAAGCAAAATTATATAATAAACATTATTTTTTTTTTTTGGATAATCAGATAATTACAAAATTCTAGAAGCTCGATTTAATCTCAAAGAAGAAGAATGTCGTAGTGTTAAGGAAGTGTTGGATCAAATACGTAAACTGAATCAACAAATCGAAGAACAATTTTCAAAGGTATATATCATATATACATATATATCAGTGTTTAGTGTGTCATATTTATATTTCTTAATAATATTATTCCTTTATTAATTATGATTTTTTTGATAGGCAAATAATGAAAGAACAGTAATGAGTGCTGAGCTTAATAACGTGAAATTTGAACTAGCTTCAGCCAAGGACAAATTATCTGATTCACAACGAGAATATGTTAAAGATTTGAATGAATTACATGTTGCAAGAGAGAAAGCAGAAAATTCATACAAGGAGGCACAAACATTGAAACAAGCTAATCAAGAACTTGAAAACAAATATAACCAAACACAAGAGGAATTAAATAAATCTCAAGCCGAAGTTGAAAATCTTAAAGTGCAATTATCAGAATTGGATGAAAAACTTTCTAGTACTAATATTAAATGGACTGAAGAAAACCAAAAATTTGTAGATTCTGCTAAACAAGCAAGTGGTAAAGTTGATGAATTACAAACTAGTATTGATGAATTGAAGAAAAAAGTTGAGGAGCAAGCTGATGAATTGAAAAAATCTCAAGAAAGATTGACTGTTTATGAACAAAGTGAGCAAGGAGAATTCATTACTAAATTAAGGTGATATTAAAAAATTTTTTTTTAAAAAAATTTTTTTTCTTTAGTATTTGTAAAATAAAATTTAAATATTTGATTTAATTAATAGGAAAGAATTAGATTCTGCTAATGAAGTAATAAGTGTATCGAATAAGACAGCAGATGATCTTAAAATTTCCCTTAAAACACTTGAACTTGTTTCAACTAATGCCAAAAAAGACTATGAACAAACTAAAGCTACTCTAGAAAAAGAAAGAGTCGAATTCCAGGTATGATTACGGATTTTTTTTTAATGTTAGATTTGCCTCATGCATTTAACATTTATAATTGTTATAATTGTAATGCAGTCACGATCAAAAGATTTTGATAGAATGGATGAAGAAAGTCAAAAAATGAGAAGTGAACTTTCACAAGTTAAACGAGAATTTACAGAAATAACAATGGAAAAGAAACAACTTGAAAAGGAATTGAATGATATCAAAAATAAATTCGAAGATGATATAATACAATATCAATCAGAAATTCGAAAAAAAGAAGATATTTTGACAGAATTACAAAACAAATACAATCATGAATTGCAAATTCATATTAAAGATTCTCAAATGTTGAATGAAGTTAGACAACAATGCTCACAACTACAATCTGATATTAAAAAGATAACGGTAATGATTAATCATGATAATGATGATGATAGTTATTTTAAAAAGCGAACTGATTGAATAATTGATCTTTTGATATTATTTAAATCAGAATCAAAAGGAAACTTTAGAATTGCTATTGTCCCAAGAAAAAGAAAATCTCAATAGGGAATTGACGGAGTCAAGGACCCGGTAAAGATAGATGACAATTAAGATCTTATTCTAAAGATTATTTATTCAAAATTGCTCATTATAAATTTTTTTTTAAATCTAGCTGTAAAGATCTTGAAGAAAGTAACAGTGTCATTCAGAGCTATCTTGATAAGGAAACTGACATGTCAGAAGATAAAGTGATGCCAATACTGAGAAAGGAGAATGAAAGATTAATGGGTCAAAGAGAATTCTATCAACAAGAAGTTGAAAAATATAAAGCACTTCTTGAATTGAAACAGAAGACTTTTGATGAATTGGAACAAACATTAAATAAAGTAAGTGACTGGCTGATAGAAAATATTCTTAATTGTATCATAAAACATTCTGATTGGAGTTTTTTTTTAGGAACGAGAGCAAAAAGATTCTATTGATTTAGAGCAATTGAAATCTCAACTACTTGAGAAACAAAACCAAATAAAGATACTTGAGGAAAGTAATAGAAGTCTTAGATCTGATTATGATAAAATGAAGAGCGAGGTTGAACGATTGAATAAGTCAATAGATGATTCCAATAATGATAAACTTAAAATTGGAGGTATACACATCTTTTTCCTTGAAAAATGATTTATAATATTTATGCTAAATATATCAAAAGTTTTTTATTCAATGATTTTTTTCCTTCATTTTTTTTTTTTTTTTTTTAAAAAAAAAGGCGAGAATGACAAATTAAAATTAGAAATTGAAAAATTTGGCAAAGAATTAAAACGTTTAGAAGATGATAATGTTTGGTGGAAAGATCGATTCCAGAGAGTTTTAGAGAAACATGGAGTATGTACATTCTTTTCTCCTCTACATGATTGTTGTTGTTGTTATTGTAATAATTCTAATCATCACCATTTATATTAATATTTAATTTTATTATAATAGATAAGTGATCCAAATGATCTTCAAAAAATGAAAGATGATTTAAAAAAAATTAAAGAAGAAAGTGACATACTAAAAACTGAAAATCCAAAATTGAAGACAGAAGTACTTAGTCTGAGAAAGCAAATTCTTGAATTCAAAAGACAATATGAAAATTTCAAGAAACAATCTGAAGATACAAAAAAACAATTTGAAGATTCAAAAAAACAATCCGAGGATTCAAAAAAACAATCTGAAGATTCAAAAAAACAATCTGAAGAGTTGAAAAAACAAATAGATGAATTCAAGAAACAAATAGATGACTTGAATAAAGAAATTGCTAGACTTAAGGAAGCTGATAAAAATTTTCAAACTCTCAAAACACAGGTAGGTTTTAGTAATATATATATGTTTGATCAGTAGTTTTTTATTTTATAAATGAATAATAATTTAATAATGTTATTTTTTTTTTTTTTTTGATTTTTAGCATGAAAGTTTAAAAGGTTATGCGCAAAAATTGAAAACAGAATTATTAAGATTAAAAACTCAAGAAACACTTTGGACCAATAAAAATAAAAAACTTGAGAATGAAATTGCTGAGTTGAAAAAGGCTCAAGCAACTACATCGACTCCTATACAGTCGGTAGCTGAAGTCACTCCAACGGAACAACAGCAGCAACAGCAGCAGCAGCAGCAGCAGCAACAACAACAACAACAACAACAACAACAACAAAAACAACAATTGCAGCAGCTGGCACTACAACGACAACAGCTGCAACAAAGACAACAACAACTGCAAATCCAAAAACAACAGCAACTGCAAAAACAGCAACAGCAACAGCAACAGCAGCAGCAGCAGCAACTACAACAGCAACAGCAACAGCAAAAGCAACAGCAAAAGCAACAAGTAGAAGCTTCGGCTGCGGAGACTACTACCATCACCACTCCAGGCCATGTGGATGTTCCTAATCCTGAAGTAATTTCTAAACCTGTTGAAACTCCAAAACTTGAAACAACAACAACTGAAACAGAGACACAAACTCCAACAATAACTAATCCTACTACAACTAAAACTGAAGTTGATGCTGCTGAAACTGATGCTGATGCTGAAAATGAAGCTGATACTGCTACCGCCACCGTTGAACCTACCGTTGAACCTACTGTTGAACCTATTGTTGAACCTACTGTTGAACCTATTGTTGAACCTACTGTTGAGCCTACTACTGAACCTACTATACAACCTACCGTTGAACCTACCGTTGAGCCTACTATTGAGCCTACTATCCAACCTACTGTTGAACCTACCGTTGAACCTACCGTTGAACCTACTATTGAACCTACTATTGAACCCACTATCCAACCTACAGAGACACTAATTAAAACTCAGGATGCACCTAAATCTGAAGAAACATATAAACCACCAGTAAAATTACAAAGACGGGGTCCTTTAGAGCTACCACCATCTACTGTTACTCAAATCAAACGACCTAGAGAAGAAGAACAACCTCAAGCAACAGATGATATAAATAAAAAGGCAAAAACTGATTCTTGATTATTTTTTAATGTATATTTTTTTGTTTTAACATTATTTATTCAGTTAATTGATTAAAGGTTTCTTTATTCAATTAATTGATTAAAGGTTTCTTTAATAATGTATATAAATGTTTTTTATTTTTTTTTTAACTAAAAAAGTATAGAATAGAAATTCATTTTCTCATTTTAATTAAAAATTTATTTTCTTTCAAAACGAACTTTAATATTTTAATTTTGATTATTGGGGTTTTATTATTTGATTACTTTCAATAAAATATACTGGAAAATTTTGACATCTCACAATGAATTTCAATTTCAAATTTTCATTCATTATCAGTTATTGTGCAGGTACTAAAGTAAAAATTAATATTAAAGGTATTAGTATTAGTAATTAGTAATTAGTATAGAAAAAGATCCGTTTTTCACAAATTTATGAAGTCATTTATCCAAGATTATTATGTGAACCAATAATTTCATATCAATTTTGTGGGCAAATTAGGATTTATTATTATAGAGGAAAATGATAAAAGGCGAATGAATGAATCAATTTATGTATTAATTCAACTATCATATCGAAAATTTATTTACAGAGATGTTGTATTGAATAGAGTTGTATTATGCAATGGTAAAGAAGAAAACTAGATACAATGATAAATATATTGAGATGTTTAAAAGCAAATAGTGAAATGTACAAGTATGCTTTGGAATTACGTAAAGAAATTACTTGGGAAAATAAAATCATAAAATTAACTTTACACATTTTTATTGTTATTATTAAAATAAATTATATTGAGGAAAATTCCTAAAAATTTCATTGTTATTTGTTATTATTATTATTATTGATACGTTAATTATGTTAAACCGTTTAAAAAAATAAATAAATAATACTAACCTCTTACATTGAACCTATACTAAGTACAAGTCCTACATAGACAGCCTACAATAAGGTGTCTCGGGTGTAAGCCACAACATCGTGAACGACTCTTGTTGTTTTTCTGTAATATACTTCAAAAGTATATTTCGAGCTCCGTTTACATCTCTATTAATGGTGGATTTGCAAGATGTACAATTAAAGATCTTTGAACTGCCCAAATTTGACTTGATGACTCCACAACATCCACATGTTTTGCTGGTGTATTCCTCAGTGCATATGATGACCTTGAACCAAGGGTACTCGCAGGATTTGTGGAGCAAACGTTGGCGAAAACGGTAATGTGACCAGGTCAACATTTGTCTTGCTGTTTTAGAGTGGATTTTTCTAGAACCGCATTTTTCAACCATATCTTGTGTTTTAAACTCAGGGAGCAAAACTATATGGTGGTTTTCACACAACCATCTTGCTAATCTTTTATGACATTCATCCACAAGATTACGGATTTTCTTGTGGATCCGGAACATGCACCGACAGAACTTATATCTTTTACGTTTATTTGTTTTGCCATGAATAGAATCCCTTTCACCTTGGATTCTATCATAATGCAAACACAAGCGATGTATTCTATTAATATTCCCTTTTCCCCATTCTATAACCTTACCACTTGGGTTATAGCCAGTCGTGAAGGTTCTCACTCCTGGATCAAGAGAAATGATGCCGGTGCCTTTATTCTCTTCAACCACCGAAAATTTAGGACCTTGGTTATCAGCCTTAATTTCAAGTGGTTTGGGGATACACAAGTAGAATTCACCAAGACGATTCATGGCGAGACGAAGTTCGTAATTTATTTCAGGTATTTTTTCGCTTGTTTTAATACCCCCGAGAAACAAAAAATTACCACGATTTCTTCCCCAGTCCCTTGATGAAATGGTGATGCATTGTGATTTATCTTTTTTAGATCTGAATTTCAATTTAAAGTTTTTTCTTTTTAAAGCAACATTAGACTTATAATTTTTTAAAAGGTCCATCATTGCTGCATCCCTAATGTCATGAGGTGTGTCAAGAACCCACTTAAGACTAATGTCTTTAAATTTTTCAGCTTTATTATTATTGATATAATTTTCACGTAAATACTTTTTATTTTTGTTTTTTATATCACTATTGATTGCAGCTAGGCATTGGTTGTACGTCCAGCGTGCAGTACCAATCCATTTTAATAGTTTGTTTTTTTCCTCCGAATTAGGGTAAAGTCTAATTTTATGAGTTTTCCCTGGTGGAGGTTTTTTGGAGGAGGAGGCTGAAGATGAAGGAATAGCATCAGCGTCAAAAGAAGATGGCGAAGTTAAATTTTCTTTTGAAGAAATTGCATCTTTGAAATTATTCCATATTCCATTTGGTAAAAGGGGATGATTATTTAAATCTACAGGTGTTGGTTTAATCGAGTCAACTGTAACCCATGAACCAAGGGCTAGTCTTTTTAAAGAGTCACCCCATTGACTTGAGCACAATACTTCACTATTAGTCTTTAAGGGTAACCAACACCAATTTGTGAGTTCTTGAGTGGATTCATCCCAGAATGGCTTACCGTATTCTCCCGAATATAAGCAACACCATTTTAACACATTTTAGTCAACAAAACTGCAGGTGTTGCTTATATTTGGGAGATTTTGTTTGTGTTACATTATGTTTCCTTATTTCATCATTTGTGTTAAGTTTTATTCATTTTTTTCCCACGCAATGCCAAAAGTCAAACGTTCTTCATATTCTGTTGCTGAAAAGCTCCAAGTTTTGCAATATGCAAAACAATATGGTTTAAGATCAGCTGGGCGTCATTTTACTATTGATCCTTCAATGATTTCTCGTTGGCAAAAACAAGAGGAAGAACTCGATTTAGTAAAACAAAAAAAGAGAAGACAAATTGGTAATAATTTAGGAAGAAAAGCAAAATATCCTGAGGCTGAAGCTGAATTAAAGGCATGGATTGTTGAATTTCGGCAAGATGGAATTGCTGTAACTCCTAAAATTGTTAAAACTTACATGAAAGAACTTTTAGCAAACCAATTTTCTAATATTTATCCAGGTGCCAGTGAAAAATTTCTTGCATCAGAAAGTTGGTTCTATCGCTTTCTTAGAAGGTATGATTTTGCAATGAGACGTAAAACAAAGATTGGTCAGAAGCTTCCCGCTCACCTTGACATCAAACTTCTCGAATTTCAACAATTTATTATAAAAAAACAAAAACAATTTGAATATGAACTTTCAGAAATTGGAAATATGGATGAAACTCCTGTTTATTTTGATATGGTTGGAAATTTAACAATTGATAAACATGGTGCAAAAACTGTGCAAGTTCAAACAACTGGAAATGATAAAAACCGTTTTACATGTGTCCTTACAATTCTTGCAGATGGTACAAAATTACCACCAATTGTTATTTTCAAAGGTAATTAAATTACAAAGAATTTACCTTCTCATCAAATCATTGTAATAATAATTGTCATTTTTAAAGGTAAACAAATGCCAAAGAATTTACCTTCTCAAATCATTGTACTAATGCACCCAAAAGGATGGATGGATGAAATTGGAATGAAAGCTTGGTTTGATAAGGTTTGGAAAAGAAGACCCGGAAATAGAATTACAAGAAAAAAAGCTTTACTTGTTATGGATAGCTTTGAAGGCCACAAGACAGATTCTATCAAAAAAATTGCACAAAATGAAAACACTGATTTAGCA